CTTGACTGCTGAGTCGAAGGCACCTTCCTTCTCAATATTGGGGACGGTGACGAAGGTAAGTTGATTCAGATATGGCTGCGTGGACTTGGCCGCCTTGACGTCTGCAGCTTTGGCTTCTGAGCGGACGGCAGCCCGGACATGGTAGCCCTGAGAGAGTGCCTCGATGAGCGTGCGATAGCCAATGTGCCCGGTGCTTCCCGTCAGAAGAACAAGGTCGCCAGCCATGTTGATGGTATTAAGGAAGATGTAAAGCTCTGAAATTCGATGGAAACGGGCTTAGCTGATTGATGTGTGCTATAAGGCTTGAATCGAAAAATGGAGCGCGAGATCAAGGAAGAGACGCTGGGTCTAATATACTCATGAACAAAGCATAACTTCACCTTTTCGTGACAACCTCGCTTGTTCTCTCTAGGAATTTGCACCATTTCAACCCCGACGTCTCTGCGAAACGTTCATGTTCCGGCCGAGAGGAATCGAAGCTGACCAATGTGCTCATGTTCCCAGCAGAAAAGGGTCGAACAGGCAACACTTTCTCTGCCGTGGTTATTCAATTCGTGTTTACTGAACTGTTACTCATCAGTCAGTTCTCGTTATGTGCATGAAGGCTGGTTAATTTTAAAGTCTTGGCAGCAGCTGCAAACCTCGAGCCTTTTTCAGTGGACGGCAAGGCGGATTACATACGTGTTCACTAATCACAAAATACACCGCAAGTACCTGATCGAGTAGCTGCCTCGCTACCTTGAGTCTGGTGAAGGTGACATTGACAACTTTTCTATGTAGCGCACTGGTTAGAGCTCAAACTGGTTTGAAGGCCACACACCATGCTTGACCCGGCCGAGATAGACAGGCTGAAGCAGTTCCACACCGCGCATTTCCCCAGCCAGCCAGTGCCGAAGTTCAGCAACACTTCGGGGCAGCAAGAAGCAGCCATATCTCAGCCACCTCCCCAAAAAGCTGATGATGAATTGGGACACTATGAGGATGGAGTGAAAAGAACTTTGACAGACGAGCAGATCAGGATGTTCCGGCATTCTGAAATTCAGCGCTTAGTCAGCGAAAGACGCGCTGCGAAGGAGGCGGAAGAAAAGCAGCAAAACCGCCAGCAAGCTGACTACAGCCGCACCAGACTCCGTCAAAAAGCACGTGGCCACTTCGATGATCAACCAGAAGAGAAGCAAAAGAATGTCGATACGTTGATGTATGATGATCAGCCAGAGCATGAAACGAATGCTGAACCAACGCCGAGGACTTTCCATTGGCCAAAACTGGGTGAAGCTTGAGAAAGACTGTCGTATCTTGCCAGGGACTCATGATACTCTACAATCGCTCGAAGCCTCGACGGTCGCCTCTTAGTTTCGTGGAGATGCCGGCATGCAGGGCTCAAGGGCGAGAAAATTTGACTGAAAACGTAAGCACAAATTTTGTCTATCCATCCTTTCCTATGATGAGTTCTTGTATCATCCTTAGTCCGAAGTGGAGCTGGCAGCAGCCTCGAGCTCGCTCTGACGATTGCTTCGCCTACGACCTCCCATTGTGTGGAATTTTATCTTCTCTCTGAAACCATGATATCCCCGGATCTTTGTCACGAGAACAGATTGAAGGGATGCTGACTAATCGACCTTGCAGCTCATCAAGCAGATTTCACCCGCTCTGTCACGACTGCACCTTTGTCGAGCAAAAGCTCGCCGGAAGTAAGGACAACTTGTTTCTGGTTCATATCCTTCCGGGCCGTGCTTGTTTCCGCCGACCCGTCACCTTCATCGGGTGTCGGCTCTTTTGCTTCATGGGCTCCGGTCGACTTATCACAATCGATGTCGATATCAACTGCCACCGTGTCTGTATGGTCCGGCTGCGACTTCGACTCCGATAGATGGAAGTTCTGCACAAGATGTTGATTATGGGCAGCATTATCATCTTCATATAGGCCGGCCCTTTCCTGGTCGGCCGGATGTCCCTCGATATTGAGGTCTGCCTCGCTCCTTCCCGAATCCGAACATGCTGCTTGCCATGGATCAGTGAAAGAAATGGTCCGGCGGAATGTATTCGAGGTTACCATTTGACCATCGCTCTTGATTCTCATTGTTCGGCCTCTCGAGACTGTTGGGATCGTGAGTTGCGGAGGCCATGCCCACATCTGAGCTGTCTTCAGTCATGATCGCTTCCCAAGAAGCGGTGTCCTCACTGAAGCACGCTCACTTCGACTGCTGTACAATGATCCAGCTGCTGCTAATGCCCTACTTATGTCTCAAAATGTTACCAATCTCCTCCTCCATCCTCCCCCTTCAGTTGGAGCATCCCACAGGCTTGGACAACGTGGCAGTCTCTGTTGGGACCCACTCCGAGAACAACCACCTCACCGCTCTATGCAAGGTCAGAGATGAAGCATTGGATCTCCCCATTCGTGTCATCACTGCAGAAAGGCCAAAGTCATTCGGGTCTCGAAAATTGAGATTAGAAGAACGCTACTGCATACGCAAAATAGGAGGTGCCGTGCCCCCAGCCTATAAGACTCGCTAGTTCTGGCAAGATCCAGCCCTAATCATGCAAAAAGACCTGCCCAACCCCCTCTCAAAGCTGTCATCAAACAGTTGTGCCCCTAACTGCGGCAGAAGTCGCAGCATTCTAGAATCCCCAGGATCCAGGGCAATCTAACGGGCGAAGAGTGGACGCGGAACGGATCACAACAAAGCACAAATGACCAGAGGTCGTCGGGTCGACTTAGGCCACTTTATTTCTCAGAGTCGTATCGCGGCACGACGGAATGTCTTAGTACCCCAAGCGAGGCAGATACCACAGGCCATCAGAGCCTTTCCTTTCTGTGGAAACACCTTGCCGGCTTACAGCCTTACGGACCTAAACGCAACAACGACCTTATGAGTAACGGTTAATGCTAAGTATGGCGAAACCCAGCCCCAGCAAAGCCGCTCATCTTGCAAGGCACGAGCAAGATCGGAAACCCGTGGTACGGAGGCTTGCTGGCGGTTCATCAGCTTGAACGTGCTGCTGCCCTTGCCTTTGGAAACGCCGGCATCAGGCATGGTTCGTTCAAGGCTATTCGGTCATTGAACGCCACACGTTTCAAGTCTGGCAGATTTCTTCACCCTTTCCGGCCCCTTCAACTGTTGATAGAGGTCGGCGTCATGCAGGTCATTCGGGTTGGGTGGCGCAATGATGAGGTGGCCGAGAAGCGGTCGCAGCGCTCTTAGCGCCCACCAGGCAGAACTCCCATCGTCTAAGGCTCAGCCAAGAAGAACATCTCGAATTTTGTGTGGTCATGCGTCAACAAGAAGCAGCCAAGATAATCGGTAATTTCCAGTCTAGTCACCCATACGTCTGGAGGACTCAGGAAACTCTGGACCGGTGTCTTAGAAGCGTTTGGAAGGCTCTTTTCCAAAGTGTCGACGTGACCTGGGCTTCAACCGGTGAAGAATCCATGTCGGTCTTCCACACACTAGGCCCGCACAGGAGGTCACAATGGCCTTAAATCTGTGCTCCACGGCTTGTACCTGTGCGGATTTACCATTGCCGAAACATGAGACCAGCCACGAGAATGAAGAGGGTGCCCTGGGTCCAAGTACAGCCCGTCCTGTCCACCTACATCGACAATCAACCCCCTGTAATCCTCGATGCCTTGCATCCGGGTGGGACTCTCCATCAGCCTATGGACGACCAAAGGTTAAAATTATGGCCGATAATGGCTGTGAAGCGTATGCCTGCCGTCACCCTCTCGCTTGTGGGATTGGCCCGGTCTGGTGTATTCGAAGTCTACGTATGAGTGTTGTATGAGACTCGCACTGCTTGTTTGGGCTTGTCAGGGCGCTAGAAGATTGACACCAGCCCCTTGTTCATGCTTTCGAGCAGGAGGTTACCTCAGTTTGTCGGAAATGTTGACCTGACTTCCGGACATCGGATTGACCCTGTCCATGCCTTTTCTAGCTTGCTTCTGCGTTGCACAGATGGTCCGGAAGAAGCAATATTCGCATTACCCCGGCACTTCGACAGGGGAATACGACCTGCACACCGTCGCAGCTTTTCATCACACAGTCACATCCCCAGGCTGTGATAACGGAGTTCTATGGACCGACGTGACCGCACGCAAGGGGGTGCCCGATGCTTTTAAGGGCGGACGATAGGTCCAGCTGTGCAGCTGTTTCGTGCGATTGGGCTGTGCATGACTGTTACCTCGCTTCGGCGGTCAGGACTGCTTGCGACGGGCCTTTTTCAGGCGCTGAATCGGATTCTGATCTTGATGCCTTGGGGCGGGTTGCTAGGTACTGGGCAACAATCTTGAACTACTTTCCGCATCTATGGACCAATCTTTCACCGACCTCCATGCCAGATAATATTTGCCCGGCCTGACCTCTCGCACCTCCCTGATCGCAGACTCCGCTTCCGATGCCTTGGTCACTCCTCTGAGCCATTTTGGCTGAGCTAGCTACATTCTACACGTCTTCGTAAGTAGGGACAGTAAGTACTGCTTAAGTTTTTCCCTGACGTTTGGAAAGGTCACAATCGGGCTTTATATAGAGGCTGAGCAGCGAGCTCTAACTCTTTGACCTACATGTCTAATGCACGGGTTCTACTCTCACAGAACAACATCAAGGAATCAGGACATGAAGATTGTAGAAAAATACACATGGCTGACGGGAAAGCGAGTTCAATGAGGCTCAAGAACGAAGCACAATGTACACAAAGTGCTCGAAGCATGAGTTTTCCGCCCTCAAAACTTTGGTATTCCTTCCTATGGGCATCTAACGTAGGTATATCCTCCGAACACGATAGGAACAAAAGAACCCATCCTGCCTGAAGCACTCTGAAGAAGTCTTCTCACAAAACAAAAGCAAGCCCATACGATCTAGATACCTAGGGGTGCCAGCAATTGAACACTACCTCATCAGCCCGAACCCTTCGAACCCCAGTCCAAAACTACCAGGTACCCCAAGAAGTAGTATGCACAACAGGGAAGGAGCAAAATACGAAAAAAAAGCAGCCGGAAGGCTCACCATCACGCGGAATCGAACCGCGAGCTACCGTGTTCTACAGCCTGCTAGTAGATGTATACTAGTTCAACCATGAGAGACGGTAATGTTATCCGTTACACCATGATGGTACAAACGAGGCAAGCCCTGCATCCATTTGACTTATCTCGCTTGTGTTAAGCAGAATTTGGGAACTTTCGTATATAACAACCGAAATCCACCTTCACTTCACTGCCAAACCGAGAGTCAAGTGACCATGATGGATAGGTACTGGGCAATCTTCCTACAAATGGGCACTACAGGAAGGCTCAATGTTCACCTCATCTCATAGAGCACGTCTTACTATGCTACACAGCAGCCTGCATATACAACACTGACAGCTGCGAGATGTTGATGAGAAGGACAGGCCGATATCCCCCCTTGAACATTTCTGGTGTACATTCACCTTCGTTTATCGAGCCGCATTCACTCATGAGTCACGAGACAGGATGAATTTCAGTCCGGTCCCTGCAAATACGCGAGCCATACGCCTACCCTCCTTCCTCGTGCGTTGTCGGGATTCTTCGTTGTCCGTGTCGACGATGATCAAGCTGCGTCTGTGATGCAGGCATCTAAAAGAGAAGGAATATGAGATGTCACCGACGAAGAGGAACGCAAGGCTAGGGCCACAGACACAAGATCGGGGTTGTTCCGTGAACCTTTCCAAAAGCATATCCTATTCCCTCGCCATCTAATATCAAAGATCGAAGTGTCGCCAACATCTAAGCTACCTTTTTCAGCGATCAAGAAAGACAACACCTGCGTTCTCCGGATGCCTCATGCTCACGGTCACTCTGGTCATGGTGTCATACATGACATCAATCAAGGCTTGCTTGGCCTGTTCTTCGGTCTTCATCTTCCCCTCAATCACCAAAGGCTTGAGCCGGTACGAGCGAAGTAACATGGCGATCACCGCCACGAATTCAACCTGACTGAACTTCTTCCCCGGGCATACTCTAGGTCCAACAGCCCAGGGTATGTACGCGGCACCGGGCGGTGGCGGAGCGAGGGTTTCCTTTCCAGTCTCCGGATCGAGCATGATCCATCTCTGAGGCTTCCATTCGAGGCTGTCTGGGCCCCACCACCGGGGATCGCTGTGGAGGCCATATAAGTTGGTCATAACATACGTGCCCGCTGGGACGACAATGTCACGGTCTCCTGTACAGAGAACTTGCGACTCTCCAGCTGGCCAACGTGCATTGTTGGCAATGGGTCCAAAAATACGAAGTGTTTCATGCTAAAATCATTTGGTCAATGTCATGCCATACTAATGTCGAACGCAACTCACCATCACAGCCATACATCTGACAAGCGAAGGGAAAACAGTTTCGTAATCGAGATCCTGCACAGCCTTGTCCTGAAGTACCGAGTCGATTTCCTCTCCAACCCAGTCCTGCACCTCATTATTCGCAGCCAGAAATGGGAAAGTGTACGTCAAGGCGTTTGAAGTCGTCTCAAAACCTGCGAGGTTGAACAAGAAAAGATTCCCGTACATTTCGTCATCTGTTAGGTGCGTGGGCTTCGCGCGAGCCCCGAGTCCGGGCTTCTTCGCTTCACGCTTCGCTGCCTCATCTGCTTCGACCAAGGCACTCACGATATCGGCGTTTTGTCCACCACCTCCGCCTTGAGTGGTTGCTCGGTTGTAAGCCACAATCTCCCTGAGATACAAGCCGAAGTCTTGCACAGTGTCTTTGAGGTCTTGAATGTAAGTCGGCATCAGGAACTTTGGAAGTCGAACATTCCTGAACACTACTACCCTGAACATGTTCATGAGCAAGAACATCAGTGCATCAGGAAAGCTCTTGATGTGGCCTGGTGGCGTGTCACGCAATCCACTCGAAAAATCGTGGATCTGACCGAAGCCTGCGCCGGAGAGAACATGGAGTGCTATCAGCACCATATCTTTGCGGACGTCAAGCATCGTGGCGCGTCTGCTCGACTGTTCGTGTCGCCCGTCCAGCCACTGCTGAGCCTGCCTCAGTGATTCTTCCCAGACAAGCTTGTAGTTCTGCTCGCGGAATGCAGGATTGACTATCCTTCTCTGGCGTTGCCAGTCTTCTCCACTGCTCGCGCTGTTAGCACCCGAAAAGCCTACTTCAACACCCTTCCAGCAACACTGTTTACAGTCTCTCGGTGAAATGACTTACTTGTCGGCAATGAGGTTGTCGCCTAGAGCTGTAAATATCTCATATACGGGCTCTGGTTTGGTCCAGTTTTTATAGTGCGACTGTACTTCCAGGCTGGCTTGGGGGTCGTTGAGCATTATATAGTTGGCTCGGGGCGAGACGACGACGTAGACGTCGCCGTACTTTTGATGCGGAAGATGCCGTTGACGCTGGGCAAACGAAAAGAGACTGATTTCGTACCACCAGGAAAATGGGAAATTTCTGATCCATCTGAATCTATCGGCGAACAACCCCCAGACGGTATCATGCCAGGAGACGGGCGTGATTACGATGGGGATGCCCAGTTTGCGTGCTTTGAGGTAATTGCGCAGGAGTCCCCAAGATCGAAAGGCTGTCAAAACAACGAGTGGAAGAACAATGAGGGTCGTCCAGAATGCCATGTTGACCATTCCGTCAAGCGTGCGAGAAGACAAGATCGCGAGACTTGGAAGAGTGTAGGACAATGTATTGCCTTTGGCTCAGAATCGCGCGTACTATGTAGTTCTCCAGCTCTGCTGCCTGATTCCAATGAACACGAGGCTGTCGGAAATTGATGGGAGGCCTGAAGCGAGGGCACCTCGTATCTCGTATTTTCTGCTTGTTCTAAACAAGAGGACACCTACCAATGCCGGTATAGACTGCTTGTTGACAGAGATCGTTGGTGGGTGGGGGGCTGGATGCATCGTGTGGGAAGTGAAAGGATCATGTACAGCGCAATGGGTCTTTGGGCGGAAGTCACATCATGCTCATATATTTCGGTGGTTCTGTTGATATTATTTCTATCATCAGAGACCCATCCACGCGGTCTTCGCAATACAGTCCACCCCTGGTTTTCTCTTGCTCTGCCTGATCAGACCCAGGTGCCGCAATTCGGCGAGGGAGCGGTAGAACAAAGCTAGAAGCTTTCGCTCGTTGGCTTCGTCGATGCCTTCACCTTCACCTTCGCTTCCCTCTCGGTCCTTCTCGTCGTTCCTACCTGCACCACCTCGCATCTCGCTTTCAAGCACCGTCGGAGCGATCGTGTCACGAAACGCGTCCCAGAGATCCCTGACATTGATGATCGACCCGGCCTCGTTGAGCATACTGAGCAGAAGACTGGTCGTAGGGAGAGTTGACTTGTCGAGGATGACGCCGCCTTCTGGCACGCAGCAGTCGCAACCTAGATAGTCTGAAGGCCGGGTCAGGGCGCGTTCAAGAGCGTAGCGAGCTCGCGGATGAACGATTGCGGAGAGTGGGGATTGGAGGTTGAAGGTATAGGACTCGGACATGAAACTTGTCCATGGCGAAGGAGATGAGCTTGTTGTTGAGAAATGGGTGGTTTTTGAGGTGAGGTATCGGGTTAGGAGGTCTAGAAAGGATTCGGTGATCTGGGAGATGTTAGGCGTGGTATCGTCAGAATTGAGTGCCTCTTGTATGGTGGCGAGGGTCAGCATTTCTTGATCAGAGCCGTCGCTCTGAGGAGACGGCATGAAGGAGTTGAGATCCTCCAGCTCTTCTGATATGCCCCTAAGGAGGACATGAAAGTCGTCGACACTGAGCATCTCCTTAAGGGCTGTTTCTGTAGCTTCGAAAATGTCCGACTGGGTCAGGTCAGGTAAAGAGGTGAGAAGTTGACTCTGAGCTTCCAGAGGCGCGATGGCCGCGGGACCGAGAAGCTGCTGGTAAATCCCTCGTAATGTACAGATCGCTAATAAGCTGGACCGTATGCGCTCCTGACCTGAGCGAACAGCTTCGAGGACCTCTTTCTCGAGCTCTGCGTCTGAGGTAAGTAGATCGCGGGAATGTTGCCTCTGCGTTTTGGTGCCTTTTGCGAGGGATTCGCAATGCGATCGGAAACCAACAGTGTTGCGTATCGCCTGAGCGGTGGACGAATCATGGGAGAGATTGAGCACGGTGTCGGGGATAGCCAGCAATGATAGCGGATTGGCAAAGAAATGAGACATGAAAACATATTTGATGGCGCGCATGAATGTCTCCACCGTAGTGCCTTGCTCTTGCGCCAGTTCTGCGAGGACAGTAATTGTAGAAGGTCCCAGGAAGAGATCGGCATCAGGGCCTTGGACAGCTGAGTAAACATCAAAGAGGGGATCTTGTCGTCCTTCAGCTTGGAATGGTTGGAAGACTCGGGCATCGAGAAAAGAGATTATTGACCTGGGAAGTCTCGACTCCAACAGTGCTATTGTCGTAGATATCCCAGTCAAGAGAACGAAGGGTATTCGGTCGGCCCAGGAGCTGATTATCGAGATCAACTCGCAGAGGATGCCGGTATCGAACGCCTCGGCGTCAGGGAGAGACACCAGCACTCTCGATACACCCTTTTTGTCGGCATAGCGTTGGAGCAATTCCAGGTCGAAATTCATTGGGATCATGGCTTTATTGGCAGCGAGGAAATTTGTGTACTCCTCCGGTCCTGCTTTTTGGGACAGTGCCAGTCTGATGACATTCTTCAATGCAATTTGGATGTTGGGAGCCTGGCTAGGTTGGAGTTGGATGAGTATCTCTTCTAAGCGCGTCGAATGTCGCTGCTCCCAGTCTTGAACAAGGTCTCTTTCGGCGTCCCTGCCTGGGGTCGAGACCAGTAGTGCTGCCTTGATTCTGCCATTTGGCCTGTCCTGCTGTTCGGCGCGCACATAATCCAGAATGTTGTCCACGAAGCTCTCATCCACTTTGTTTATTACAGCATCGATTTTGTCCTGTTGTCGTGTCCATGTTGCCGCGAACAATTGCTGTCGCCGTCGGATGGCCTCGGCAGGCTCTTGACCTCCAAACAGACTGGGCCATGCGTCTCCTCCCTCTACGGTCCTCTCTTGATTTCTGGTACTTGAGTTCTCGAGCTTTCGTCTTTTCTTCGGTCGCTGGTCTATGACTTCTTCGTGGTCGGTTTGGGCTGGTTTGAAGATGTAGCACCCCTGTTTCCGGTCAGTGCA